TGACGCACAGGCCCTATTAGTTCATTCAAATATTGAACAGTTGAAAGGTCGAAGCACAAAACATATACACTGAGCCTATATATCTGAGCCAAGTCTTCAAAGGAACGTAGATATTTTTGCGTACTGGGATTCTAGTCCGTATCCTTTATTAAAAACAGCTGTTATGAAATATCTTTCGAATCCACTTGAACAAATGTTTAGTGCCGCTGAGCAAATTTATTCAGACAGAAGGTCCAATTTGTTAGGCGAAAACGTCGAAAAACTGTTATGTCATAATATCAGGTTGTTCAGTTATTATTAGATTACGTTCTAAAATATTACTTTTGTTATATTGTTTTTTTTTTGACAATCACCAAACGTTGTAAACAGAAAGAGTTAATTTTTTCAAGAGAGAAATGTATTACTTTTTCAGTTTTATTCAACTAAATCTCAACAATATTTTATAAAGACTGATTATTATATAGAAATTGTGCTTTCTTGTAGATACACTGCTATTCAACCCCCCACATCATACGCATACCCCTCAGTTGGAAGTTTCGGCCGAAACTAAAATTGGACCGAAATTTCGGTTTTTGCTAAAATACTAGTTTCGGTCGGACACTTCTTACGAACCTGGTAAATTTCACGCGTATTCGTGAAACCAAGAGCGCGCTGAGGCGCAGGCCCTCATTCGAATATTGTTCTAGCAGTTGAAAGGTCGAAGTGTCTGTGTGTTGTGATTTTGTGAATAGTGTCCATATCAAGTTCAGGTCAAGGTTCGATCAATCAAACGGTGAGGGTTTTCACTGAGTATCTTTTATTGTTTTGCTGTACTGCATGTCATGTGTATTTTCTAACCATTGTACCCTTATAATCACGATAATAATTGTCATAAGTCAAAACTAGTTAGATGAGATATGTCAGTTAAGATAAATTTGAACGTAACTTGGAGTCAAACATCTACAGAGGTGTGACGCCTCCATATCCTGGAGGCTGTTATGAGACTTACAAGGCCGGGCTGCCATCGGGGGACTGGTTTCCTCCAGGGCCGTATGCTCCGCTGTTCGATTTTCGTCCGCCGGCGCGCATGACGTCACGGGGAGAGTGATTATCATTTGGGTTGAAAACGTGCATATTTTCACCTACAGGCCAAACGGCTGGACGGATTTTCACATATGAGGTGTTGTTGGATTCGTCTTAGCGGTGCGAGTGACACTAGCTACATTGAAATTTTATATAATACAAAATGGTGGATTTTAATAAAAGATTTCAACCTTGTAATTCCTACTTCATAGGCTACAGATCAAACGGCTTGATAGATTTTCACATATGAGGTGTCGTTGGATTCGTCTTAGCGGTGCGAGTGACACTAGCTAAATTGAAATTTTATAATAAACAAAATGGTGGATTTTAATAAAATATTTCAACCTTGTAATTCCTACTTCATCGGCTACAGATCAAACGGCTTGATAGATTTTCGCATATGAGGTGACGTTGGATTCGTCTTAGCGGTGCGAGTGAGACTGGCTACATTAAAATTTTATACAAAACAAAATGTTCGATTTTAATAAAAGATGTCAACCTTGTAATTCCTATTTCACAGGCTATAGCTTAAACGGCTTCTAGCTCCCCAATAGAGCGTATCGTCTCTTCACTGTAAAAACAAGATAACTCCATTTTTCTACATTACCTATATTTTAGTTTGTTCTGTGGAGCAGGATTAACATGTTCATGTCATAATACATGTACTTAGGATGTTCTGTGGAATAAGGATAAATGTAGTACAGTAAGTGTGAAAATGTACGCAACTCAAAAAGTAGAAAAATTGAGTTATCTTCTTTTTGCAGTACTTAGTCTAAGCAACAATTTTTTTCCATTTCCTTTTACGATTTTTCTGGTCTTTCAAACTTTTATTCAGTTCTTTGATCCGGAAGAACATCATTGACCTGAAAAACAGTTTTTTAGCTTTTTCAGGGCAGTCAATATTGCTGCTCTTCAGCAGAAGTTCACCAATAAAATTTTGCTTTTCTGTCACTATTCCGTCCCCATTGAATGTAGTAAACACCTTATTAAGCTTCTCAATTTGATTCATGAAAGCTGTGGAAGGTTTGATAATCCACTCTCACTAAGATGGTCTATCCACTATCTCACCCTTCAATTTATGGCAAACAAAGCCGGCCAAATTTTTCAGCCCATCATACACGAGCTCATCCATTTCTTCCACTAAAACTTCCTCGTTATAGTCAACTGATACTTCAGGTGCATTCAGTTTATTCGTTAATGATCTGGTTAGTGGAATCTCCGGAGTATCCTCTTCCTCTATGCTGCAATACTCTGAGAATGCGCCTTCGTTTCGCCTCAAAATATATGACCTTATTCTATACTTAAACACTATGGGATAAGTTGAGCCCTTTGCCTTTTTTCGTAAGCACTTTTCCGCTTTTCCCCATCAATAGATGTAGACGGTCCAGGTGATGATAGAGACTTGGGTGAATTTTCCATAGGAATGGAATCATCTTTTAGAGCACGGCAATTTTTAGAGGTGAAATCCAAAAAGATATGTTTTAAATTGACCTTACAGGCACTTTCACAAAAATGCTTAGACCAAACCCTAGCGCTTTTTACATTGACTTTGTCTTTTCTTTTTGTAAGATGTAGCATTTTTTTGCTAAGGTTTGGGTCTTGAGGATATCTGCAGAACTTCATGTATTTGCAAGGATTCCGATTCGACTGGTTGTCGGAATTACATCCCACAACAGCACATCGCATTTTTAACAATTTATCAACCACACAGGCTATATAAAGTATGTATAACTGATAGAACAGGTCACAAAACCACCAAAAAACACCAGCAAATCGCACTATAAAGTATTAACCACGATACACGTGAACTGCAGTAACGTTACGACAATCCTGCCGCTGGTAACCACGAGCCGATAACTCTCCGGGTGACGTCACGAAGCTCCGGCCACATGCGCAATATCCTATCTTCAGCGTATGTGTATCGTGCTTTGAGCTGATGAGAATGAATTAAATAATGTACATACAAAGCATATTCTGCCATAACAACTTTTTTTTCATATTGCTAATATTTTGTACATTTCGCAGCTGAGTTATGGCTGGCCTAAGGATATGTATTTTAGTAAACTATAAATAAATTATCAAGTGCTTACAGTGTTGCTTCATTATAATGTCCTGTTGTAGTGCAAGACTAGTTGAGAAATATATCGACTTGCATCTCATAACTAACGAAAACGATTAAATAAATGATGACTCTAAAAGTACTAACAGGATTTTGATGAAATTTTGACCATAAGTTACTACTATGAAAACGGCGAAAAAGCTCTGCAGTTTTTGAAAATCGGTACAGTGGCTGCGGTCAAACTTCGTTTTAAGGCACTTCTGAGGCTTCTGTCAGACTTGAGTTGTAGTCACTGAAGACAGATCTGAAATTATTTTTCGGCGCTCGAAAAACTTGTTTCATCGTTCATTTTGTATAATTTTTCCTTCATTTGTAAAGGTTCAAGCCCGAAAATAATAGACGTTGGCGCCACCATGCGTCGAATGTCCGAGACTAAAAAGTTCATCTCATCGTGTAGGAGACACACTTGCCAATTATGGGGTGTCGAACGTTGTACACAACGTTGGAAGCATCGTGTGGGACCCGCAATACTAGATAATCAGCTGTTATTCTACCGTAATAGATACTCGTGAAAGTGACAATCACCTCGTATTAGCACAGCGCATCTCAGGCGAACAGCGTGCAGTATGATTCATTTTTTTGAATGAACCTGTAACTTCTGTACCAAACTTTCTTTTGCGCAAGTGAAGCATATTTTCGGGAACATTATTCATTTCACAGATTGTTGAAGATCATTGAAGATAATTTTATATGCCAAAAATAAGTGGCGTGCGCGGTGGGTTAATAGCCAATATACAGGGTGGCGCATCGAAAACCAAACAGACGCATTTACTGGCAGCTCAGTTTTTGCGTAATGTGGTGGGGCACCATCCTGTTGGAACATCAACCTATTCGCAATGTACCGCCGATCATTCTGATTTTCAATTATGGCTGTTAATGCAGGATCTATGGCGTCTTCCAGTAATTAAAAATACATTTCACCGGTCACATTTCCAGGTAAGAAAAAAGGACCAACTAAATGATCGCCAAAAATACCAGCCCAAACATTTAATTTTTGTGGCTGCTGTGTATGAACCTCATGATAAATTCTGGAATTAGAATTGGACCAATATCTGCAGTTATGACGATTTACTACGCCATTTAAGAAAAAGCAATATTCATCGGAAAAACAAGTGTTGAATAGAGAATGTTCATCGTTTATAATTCGTTCAATCATATCTTCACAAAATTGTAATCGCCGATCAAAATCGTCTTCATTAAGTTCTTGTACCAGGTGAATTTTATGCGGATAAAAACTATGGGCCTTTAGAATCCGTTGGACTTTACGTCGACTAACACCACACACAGTCTCCAATTTGCGGGTACTTAACGTAGGATCTACATAAACTTGCCCTAAAACCCCCACTGCCATTGCTTCGTTCCTTATGGCGAACGGCTACACGTTAAATGTTTATCGCGATACTTGGATCACGATACCACGATATTTACTGATGGATCCAATAGACTCCAGACGTACAATATTTATCTTGATAGTTAAAGCGAGTGTAGCTATTTTACTGGCATTTTCGTTGAAACTACAAGTGAAAAGAAAGAGGTGGATAAAGAAATGGGTTCAAGATCGAGACAAATTTACGCATCTTAATTTATTGAATGCAATTCAATTTTATAAGGAAATGGACGGATTATCAAAATTATTTCCGCATGTCTGATAACTGTTTTGAAAATCTTCTTGAATTAGTTACACAATTTTTGCCCAAAAAGCAATTTCGGTAAGAGAAAAATTGGCACTGACATTGCATTATCTGGCAACAGGAAGAAATTTTAAAGATATAAGGTTTGCAGGGATAATGACCCCAGAGTCAGTAAGCCAGGCAGTCATGGATACCTGTCAAGCATTGATATATGTTCTTCGCGACTATATTAAGGTAAGTAATAAAAAAATCTCAATCATAGTAGGTATATTATATTTGTACAGTAAGGAAAACATCTACATGTTTTAATCACCTTTAAATGATTTAAAATGAGTAGACAAAGTGTAATTGTTTTCTTTAGATTCAGGAATATGGATTAGGTAACGAGTATCTGGTTGTTGAGTGATGTCTGTGTGAGATCAGGTGAATCTATGCAAGTTGCATTCATTTCGCTTTGGTTTGAGGTATTTATTTGTAGTGTGGACCTTGAAGACAAACCCTGAGATGTATAGTGTATACAACATTAATGTTTGGAGGGTGTGTGGGAGGAGACGGAGATGGAATTTGGACATAGGTACTTGATCCAGATAGTGAAATATGTGAATCTGGTGATGCTGTAGGGTTCCCACTATAGGGAGATGTCAAAGACGCAGGCCCGGTACGACTATACGGAGACACATTAATTTGTACAGAATCTCTTTCCAAAGTCCCAAGTTCCGCTTCAAATAAAATATCATTAATTGCCTTTTCAGCAAACGTTCTCTGAGTTGGGTGGATCTTTTCTAGCTTTCGGCTCCAATATAATGCTGTTGGATTTACGCTACTTGATGATGATGGTTTTGATGATAATAAAGAACAGGCTTTTTGTATGAGTTCATTTTGTCTTGCTATAGGTCCAGTTTTTCTATTCTTTCGAGGAGGAGGAGCAAGAACGTTGATAGACGAAAAAGATGAGTCGGCTGATTCTTCTCTAGAGTTGCTTTGTTGTTCTACTTCATGTGAATCTTTCTCGCTATAGTTTTCCTCGTCTTCACCTTGTGATTGAAGTCCCTGAAAGTAAAAATATTGATCATGTACTTTTTTTTCAGATGCCAACTGCAGCAGAAGAATGGAAAAGTGTTGCCTATGATTTTCAAATACAACACAATTTTTACAACTGTGTCGGCGCAATCGACGGCAAGCATATAAAAATAAGGCATCCACATGGTTCAGGAGCCCTATATTTTAATTACAAAGGAACCTATAGTATTGTCCTTATGGCTATTGCAAATGCCAAGAAAGAGTTTATTATGGTTGATATTGGATGCAATGGCCGAGTATCAGATGGTGGTGTCATTTTTACACAAAATTCTGGGAAATTTTACAACAAGGTCGTTTAAATTTGCCAGAACCGTCTCCACTACCTAATATGTTACATTAGAGCCATATCCATACGTCTTTTTAGGGGACGAAGCCTTCGCGTTAGGTCCTAATTTAATGAAACCATATCCACAAAAAACAGCGACAAAGGAAGTACAGATATATAACCAACGATTGTCAAAAGCTAGGTGTGTGGTTGAATGTGCTTTTGGAATCCTTGTTACCAAGTTTGGAGTTTTTCATAAAGCTATTAGTCTCTGTCCAGAGAAAGCTACAAAAGTGACAGCTGCATGCTGCTACCTGCACAATTACTTGCTAAAAAAAGATCCACAAATGTATGCATCATCAAGTTCTAATAGCGACGATTTTGATTTAATGGCAATGCAGCGCAGTATGTTCCGGAACTCAGCCAAGTACGCCAAGACTATAAGAGACAAGTTTTGTATATATTATAATAATGAGATGAAAATTGTAAATACTCAATTATGAACTTGTAATAAAGTAGTTACCCCTAAATATTTGATTGGATCTATTCACATTATTCTTACAAGTAACAATGCTTGCATCAATTGCAAAAAATACAGTTGGAAATAGAATGATTCCGATAACCTTGAAAACGAAGTATATACTGCATCTTTAATTAATTTGCTGGTATAGATTTTAATAGTTTGAACCCCAATCCCCACTTAATGAAGTGAATTCATAAGAACCCCCTAGCCAAATTAATCGTACTGCCAACATTGAACACATCTAACATTTATTAAAATATCAGAGTTCAGATCTTTTCAAAAACTAAAACATAAAAGTTCACTTACCAGGCCAACAGGTTGTTCAGTCTTTTTCAAGAATTTCAGCATATGAAAATCCCAAGATTTTGGGGTGTATATTTGATCCGTGCCAGCTCCCGAACGTTTTGACTACAAAACTTTTTTGAGTTCTTTCCTGTAATTTGATCTTATGGAGTTTATTTTTTTCCTTACGTCAACTGTTGCATTCGGCTTAATTTTTTTGTAGATCAGCACCAACTTTTCATAAGCGTGAGTTCTTTTCAATTTATTTAAATAATCATTTCTTGAAGAGTCCAAAATTTCTGGCAAACTTTCCAAATGCAATATAAATGATTTTAAATGTTGTTGTTCCCTTGTAAGAGATGACGCCGTTCCCTCCGAAGGCTCCACACACGTGCTTTCGTCATCAGACATCATGCTCTTGGCTAAACTAGAACGCGTACTGACGTGATATATACATATAACGGTGAAACTAAACGTGACTTTGAAGTTGAGTCATTAATTTTCAGATAATGATTGTAGAAGGAAGATAAACCAAAATATGTGTGTAAAAATAAAAAAAAAAATAAAAAAGAAATGTTACCTTGTTTAATAAAGTATCCTCCCGACAAGTATTTCAGTGCGGACCTGTATTTGATCGTGCGGTCTTGGAGCAGCATGTCCTCACCTGTGAGGTCTTAAGTCACCTGATTCACGAACCCGTTGTACTACATTAACAAAGGCACGAGGGGTTGGTTGCACTCGATTGGGAAACCGATCCGCATAAACATGTGCCATTTTTTATTTCGTTTGAGCCACGCAACACACTACTATTCACTTACGCGTTATCGACTGACGAAAGACATCGTGATAAACGTTTCAAATTCTTTCGCTTTTTTGTTTCCGATGCGATGAACCGGTCAAGCGGATTATATCCGTTGTCGCCAAACACGAGCATAACGTATAAGGCAGGGCGGTACTCAAACTTCCAAAGGGCTATAACTTTGTTACTTTAATTTTACCAGAAAAATGGTAAAGGAAAAAAACATTTCTTTTGATCAGATCTACTCACTGTTAAAATAAATGACTCAACTTCGAAGTCACCCTGTATATCGCGTGATCCATGGATTTGACCACGGATTTCAAGATTTCTAGAAATCCTACGATACGGATCGTGATCCATCAATATATCACACAATCAATAGATATCACGATATTGGATCGTGATCCAAGTATCGCGATAATTATTGAGCTTGTAGCGTTCGCCTTTGGGATTTTCGATGTTGCGTTTTTTATTGGCGACTGACCCCCCTTCTCATGTCGCTCATTAAATATATCTGCTGTTCTATTAGCGCACTGATTATTTCCGAAAAATATTTCGATAATTTCAACTCTTTCTGCTGTGGAATATACCATGGTTAATTTATGTAATAAAGCGTTACAAATTATTTTAGCAACAAAGTTTGGTCAAATCAATCGCAAACTATGTACTAAATTCCTATTTAAAATAAGTACTAGATATTTCCTTATCTTTCTTCAAGAAATAACTTTTTTGCCACAAAAAAAACGCTCCATTAGCTATTTTCAACAACAAAATGATAAAAAAACCATGGGCGTAGTGAAGAAAAACATTTACTTATTAAGTAAATTCTTTTAGTCAAATTTCTTCTGAAAGTAGTACAAACTAATTTGATATACCTATTAAAGTCTACTTTAAGCTTTAAATCAATAAATCTTCAAAACTACTGAACTAAAGCTCATGTATTTTACATCATTATAAAGGGAATTGAAAGACCTTTAAAATAATGTACTTGTGTTCCCCTCGAAAAGAAAAATCGACGCGTCTGAGCGTTTTTCCAAAAAAAAAATGAGCTGCCAGTAAATGCGTCTGTTTCGCTTTCGATGCGCCACCCTGTATACTAAGCCAGATGTTCAAAATCCTTTTCCGCGGCGCCCTTAATACATCAGATTTTTTTCTAATTTTTTTACTTTCTGCATACACGATGGTTGGTGAAAAAATTCGAGAATTGGAAATTCCAAGAAAATTGCCGAATTGTTTAAATGAATATTTCGCGGCGCCCTTATGACGGCACCGCAGCACCCCGGGGAGTGTGAAGTGTTACACCCAGAAGAAATAATTTCAACTTGTTTTTTTGGCAACATAATGACTATATTTAAAGTGTGTTTAAAGCATGCTGTGGCAACAATGTCAACGTTTCATCTTTGTTCTTGTTTACCTTTGTTAAAATGTTCTCTTAGTTTTTGTAAAGAAAACAGTTCCTGAGAGCTATGTAGTACAGATATTGTTAGTTATTGCCCTTTCATTTACTAGTAAGTGTTAACCATAACAAAATGCTTCGAGTTCGAAGACGTCCAAATTATCACCATGTTAGCAACTTTGACAGGGGTAGAATTATTGCGTATCGAGATGTTGATTTGCCCTATCGCGAAATTGGCCGGCGGGTTAATTGTACTGCAATGACGGTAATGCGCGTGTGTCGATAGAAGAAGGTAGAGGAACACGAAGAAGGCCAATTGGTCCACCGAGGCCTACCAAAGAGCGATGTTCGAGTTGCTTGGAATGAGGTGCCACAACTAGACATCGATTATCCTCATTTTGTCGATGTCTAGACGAAAACAGAAGTGTATTCAGCTGCGGGGTCGCCCAACAGATTTTTTTTCTTATCGTCAATAAAATTCCGTGAGAATGTTATCGTTTCATTTTTGATGAGTCTACCTCGTTACCAAAAACTCAAGTTGAGGAAATTATTTCTTCTGTATGTAACACTTCTAATGTAACTAAACCGTGCCGACTCTCGGTCAAACTTTGAATTTGAAAATTTCATAGGGAAAGTATGGATTTCAAAACGTAATTCCTGTTCGACATATAACTGATTTGTTTGCATCTTTTATTACTTAGATATTTAGATAAAAGATAAAAACATTAATTACTGATTTACCTGGCTGCGTTCTTGTACGCAACGTAATAAAAATTGTTTTTGTTTCTCATCAGCAGTGATTAAGTCATGGAAGTCTTGCATTAACTTGACTGCTCTTTCTGCTGTATCATTAACTGCTCTCAGCGTTTGCACTTTATTCTTAGCGGTTGAAAATAATCATTATGGACTTCCTTTTGATTGAAACAAACTCATCCATATTTTTCTCCGAAATGAAAAAACGAAGAATCGCTACCATCTTAACATACTGGTTTTGCCCGTGATGTTTGTCAAATAAACTTGCAAAGTTAATTTCACTAGATTAGTTAATCCGTCGAACGGCGTCAACTACTTGTGTCAACGGCTGCCAAGTAAACTTACTCTATAACAGTAACTACTCTCACTGGACGAGTTGGCAAAATAAACTTGCAAAGCCAATTTCACTAGACTATATTAATCCCACGACTACTCCCGTTCGAGGTGTTTGGCAGTTTCAACTATATTATAGCTATGCAAACTCCATGATTGTACTATCAGTAACAGCTCTAACGATGAAAGGGATTTTTATATAAAAAGAGAGAAAGACTTTTTTACGAGATATTTATTTGAAAATTTTGTGGAAGTCCAATAGCCCTACAATTCAAATTTTTCACATGCTTGTTCTATTTGTATCTTGTCACATATTTTCAATAGAAGCTGCTAATTTAAAGGATGCTGTTGGTGAACCATTTTCTATATTTTATTTGCTCTAGAAACTTGTTTACAAAAATATACTGAGCAAATAGCACACAACTGTTTTTACATATACATATCTGTAATTTTCAAAATGTGTGTTTGGAATGTTCAGCGTCAGAAAAATGAAAATACATGACAGTCGAAGCGGATGGTAAAATAAATCACTGAAATTAGTCACAAATATCACTATTTTATTCTACAAATACCGCACTTCACCATAAAAATTGTTTTAAGTCCACTTTGTCCTTCACTGGTAGATTTTTAAAGTCCATTCAGTATATACTCGTATCTAATAGTAACTTGTGTATTCATCTAGATTTTAACATAAACGTTGGGCTATGTACTCGTTCATACAATGCATTTCTCCTAAATAAACCAAATTTATACACATCATATTCTTTAGCATTTATTTTTCTCAAAAAACCAAAAAATAAAAATTTTATTCTGGTAGCTTAAAACTGTTTACATAAAAAATTCACAACAGTGATTGTTTTACTCACAAATAATAATGCACTTACTCATAAAGGATGTATAACTAAAAATCTAGCATCAAATTTGTTTTAAACCTATTACACTTAAAAAATGTCCATTCAACATTTTAGGCAATTCCGCATACGACTTTTAAAAACAAGGATGTACAATGTCGCCAAATAATCAAACTACTTAAAAAAGTTGGAAAAAGAGCGGTAAAAATATACTAAATATTTTTTACAGTAGTTATCACGCATTCGGCAAATTTTGAAATGTCTCTTCAGCCATACAAAACGAAAATCACATGTATTCATTATATACAGAACGTTTATCTAATGTTCGTTTAGTAAAACCAAAATATATATTTTTAAGAGAAGCAAGCAATGCTTCATTTCATTTAGAATTTTTTGCCGAATGTGTGGTATTTAAAAAAACTTGTGATGTCTATATATAAAAAATGTAAATCCTTTTCCACAATGAATGAACATGTAAAAGGAGGTTATTGCCAATGACAGCTTAAAGATGGCATAATAAAGGATGAGCGCTAATATTAGGAAATACTGCTTAAGCCATCTTAAACTTCAATGTATCTATATGAATCGTAAGACGACACGCTCATTAAAATAATAATATATATATATATATTTATACAAACGTATAGATCTATTTACGCCAATCTGTCAATCAAAATTTATTATTGCTAACAATTTATCTAATGTTATCAGGAGCGGAGTGTTTGATGAAATTGACCGTATGACGAGCTGTGGGGCCTGTTTTTATATAGATCTGTAGTCTTACTTATATTTAGATGAATATTGGTATACCTGATATCAACGTCCGATCAACGAAATATAATATTTTTTCTAAAAATCAGACTAATATTTTGCTATACAAACAAAATCTCTCCAAGATAAAAATGCCTTATCTGAAAACGGATACATATACTAAACAACTGTATAGAAACAGACCCTATTTTAAGATTATGTAGGGTAGCAACTGGACATTGCAAATTTCCTCATGAATACGAGGAACTTTCGTCACATTTATCAAACAGTCTACAAATATTTTCAGAAAGTATTCTGTGGAAATTGATGACATCCGGAAATACACCTTTTTCTCCTACAGAAATCTGCTATGCTGAAAAGATCGCATGAAATAAATTCTCCATACGGTATACATGGTTACTGCTATATACTTTTATAATAAATGTCTTATAGAAATGTTCAGTAAACTGTTGTTCACTCTTGAACCAATCAAATTGTAGTATCAAAATCAGAGCCGTTTTCCAGTGCCTCATTTGTGTTACTCGGAGTACTGCCAAATACCTGGCAATACCGTTCCACTGCTCTAGAGTGTCATGCACCTGAGCTATTCATTTTTAAAATCCCCTGCCCGCTTATGCACTAGTTTTTTATACCGTGTTATACGCTCTGAAATAGTGGGGATAATGACAATGACAATGTGTCAAGCTTGTTAGTTATGTTTTATCACCGTTTTTGTTTTTTTTGCATTGGAGGATGGTAAAAAATTGATAATGTATGGACCCAGAGTCACAACATACATTTGGGATGTTCCTGAATAACGAATATCACAAGACGGCACAAGAAGGCTGAAGATGAAGTTGGCTTCATCTATAACTAGACACTTTGAAAATAATGTTGAATGTCTACACTAACATGAATTCGACACATTTACACATAAGCATTACATAAAAATGTTGACCTCTGACGTGTTACGCCATCATTTTCAAAGCACCACAATGCTTCTGAAAATACGTTTCGCATTTTCATTGTTAGTCTGGCCGTATGCTCACAAAACTGTCAACGTCAAAGCAAAAAAAAAAACAAAAACATGTTGGGTTTTTCTCGTTGCGTTCCCGTGCACGTTTGCTACAGCAGTTTGGGAACATCACGCATTCAACTCTCAATCCAAAAGCACTGGAAAGCGGCTCTGTAAGACAAATATGTCAACGCTATAATACTCACCGCAAGGACATGAATGAACTGTAAACAAAGCAAACCTGTTATGACCACAGGCAACTGAAACAAATCACTGACGAGAAACCTGAAAGTTATCTAAGTGAACAAAATATGCCTAAATGACACAGCTTACGCAATACCTATCTTTTACAAAAACTGCTTTCATGCGATCTTCATTCACATGAATTTAACTTTCCACAGATCCAAGCAAATGTATGATGTATAACACTACATCTCACACATCGCCTATAAAACATAGATGTGTGACTAGAAACTATTCCGATACCACATAGAAATAATGAGGATGGTAATATTCCTTCACTGTCGTGCAGAGGATTAATATATAGAATATTTAGAGTCGCAGTGACCCTTTCGTGGACCACAGACCGACTATACTAGGTCTAAATTCAGGAACCACATGACTTATGCACCTGGCCGCATCGTGGTTTTCTGCCGTGTGCGTTTCAAACTGCGTGAATTGCAGTTAGAAAAACGCCCCAGTGCGCTTGCCTTTATTCATACTAACAAATGACGCACTAAAATGGCTAGTTTGGGGAACCAGCAGCATAGAGGCGCAAAAGGCCCCGCTAGGTAACCTATGTACCAGTGACCATAGACACTGAAAAGCCTCTTTCTCTCTCATTCCTTTGTGCATTTCGATATTTTTAAATGCTCTAAATCGTCGCTTTAATGCAGAACTAGTGTCCCTTCTTATGCGTTTCCACATGTTTTACAGCAAACGATAGAATGTGGCATCACTCATTCATTGCAGAAATAATATACGAGGCTTGATCCTCTTACTCCAACTCCCTGACAACCTTGCAGTAAAGCTACACACAATTTATAATATATGTTCCATTTTTATACTTAATCCCTTCTAACACCAATACTACTACAACCGAAAAAAAAAAACGGAAAATTGTGTACAACTGAAATACATTTCGTTGTCACAAGTATCAACTATGGCGTGCTTGACAAGTTCCCGTAATTATTACTTTAAGTTTTTTTAAATTTTATGAAATTACTGGTGGTCAGATGGCAGTGGATAATCTACCAATTCAAAGCCTATTTGGTGTAAGACAGCCACAACAAAGCAGGAGGTATCACAGAGCACTATCCTGCCACTTATTAACTTCCCCACTACGCTTCTATTTAAAAGCATCTCACAATATTCAGGTTAAGTTTGTATAAAATGTCCTTGCAATTCTACATGATAATCTTGTAAGACAATAACATGCACTTTTTTAATCTTTTGGTCAGTGGATGGCGTTACAACTGGCCCACTGCCATGGTAGTTTGCACAAGATGTATTTCAGGTCACAGGCGGAGCATCAAGCATCAAGCCTCATAAGTTAAGAGCTCTATGATGGTAGCGATCTTTGTATTAGTAACGAACAAGTCTGCGATTAATCCAACAAAGTACTTTTATGCAAAGGTATTTTCTATAAATATGAATGGTCCTAAGTGGAACATATATAAGCTAGATTTGCGTTACAGATTTGCAGCCTTTTCCTTAAAAGGACTCAGAATAGTCTGGCGTTACTTACCGACACAAACAATACCGGAAATAGGACAGAGACTAACTCTGTTCCACATATTTTGAATTTAGGGCAATCTTGAAATAGTGGAAGTAAGCTACTTTTGCATTAAAGCAACAAAATATACCCTCCAAATAAACAAATGTGGCGAGTTAAATTCAGATGCATATCTTTTCTAACTCTGTTGGCACGTGCGGCGTTCGTCGTTACTAGGCAACAACCTCCTTTAGGCATGTCTACGGATGCTTCTTTCTCGATATGTATACACCTCAGACACTCTACAATTAGTTTGGGCCTGTCGCCGTTCACGCGCTGCTAGCAGCACTCTGCAACCCGACGAGGAAGGGGGCCGCGGCCGATGAGGGTGCCGTAGCTTGTGGGGGCCCTCCTCCGGGGGCAGCTAGCGAACCGCCGCCTCCGACTGCTCCGCCTGGGGCCCCGCCGACGACAGTGGCTGCTTCGGCCCCAGCGCGCGGTGACTCGCGGGCTCCTGGATGCTTATCGGCTGTAAACAATATAACACGTACAAGATTTTCTAACAACGGGATGAACAACAGGGAGGTTAATTAAAGCAATAGGAAATGACATTTCCAGGCATGATGTTTGGAGACTTTGGTGAGGAATGGTATGCGAAAAGTGACACATCATCTATAATTTCAGAGACAAATATAAATCCAGGTTTAAGAACTTGTAGAATCAGTTTTGTATTCAGAACTTGAATTTATATTAGAGAAATGAACTGACAATCCGGTCAATTTATTCCAAAAAATATATCAATATAATTCCATAGGACTAAACAATTGGATGAATGTTGGAAACACGATCTAACATGTGCAAAAAAATGTACTCAAGGTTGAAGTTTGCAAAATACGTATTTTGAATATCTTAAAAATCATTATTTCAGAGAGCGATTTTTTTATTCTCTATAATATAAACACGTTTCTATGCAACCTGTGACCCTGTGAGGTAGTGTACTCAGCACCTCGTTTCAATGGTTTTTCATGATCTATAGTGGTCATGTTCAATTAAATCTCTTTTCTTCTACATACAGGGTGTAAATAGTAGTGGATCAACGGAAGTCAGGTGATAGAGGGCCTCAAAACATATCGAATGAACTTATATGTGTAGTCCGAAATTTTATAGTTCGGGATACGGGATACTTTCAATCGCAATTACAACTAAACCATTAGGTTTAGAGCTGTGATTTTTTTCTGAGAGGAGCTAAATGGTTAGTTTTAGCAATGGTTATGTCACTTTTTAACAGAGCTTATTAGGAATCAACGCAAAAAATCTTGAATTCATTTTTTTGTGAAAAATCTCTTCCATCCCTCAATTTTGAAGGACGGTAAAACAAATTGAGATTGTATTTCATTATTCATTTTATTGTAAAAACTATTTCAATCCATGTAGAATAAACCCTGAAAGTTTCAGCTTGCTACGAAAAGTGCTTCACCTTAAAAAATCTGTATGTTTGACGCAGATGGTTATCTATTTAATGTAAACAAGAAATTCTATTTCACGAGCTACAGTCCAAACGATTTGCTGGATTTTGACATATGAGATACTGTTAGATTCGTCCTAGCAATGCGAGTGATACTGCGTGTATTAACATTTTGTAAAATCAAAATGGCCGATTTTTTACGCAAATAACCAAATCATCTTAATGAGCTTGGGCATTCAACACCGCATTCCAGGAGCGGGAGCGTTCAATCTTCGGTCCGACCGAAATTACTAAGTCAGGCAATGGTCCACCGCGGGATTTGTATCTAACGTTTGGTATCTGAGTTGAATCATGTCATATCCCGCGGTATATCCCGACACTGCTTTTTTCTACGCGTCCATGATGCTTGTATGGAGGGCCGCATACTAGGCACTCATCGTCAGCTAGGAGCGCCGACGATACGCCCAGAAGAAATATAATCCCATATTTCAGTGCACACAATACTACGCTCAGAGAACATGCTTCCTTACCATGTAGAAAAAGTACAAGAATTGCTTCCAAGGGACTATGCACAATGGGTTGATTTTTGTGAGAATATGTTGAGAAGGTGCGAAGAGGATGTAACTTTTTTCGACAGCATCTTATGGACAGATGAATCCTACTTTAACCGAAATCGAATACTCAACATGCACAATTTCCATTCATGGGGCGTGGAAAATCCACACGCTATTCGCCGACACAGCTTTCAACGTCCGTTCGGCGTTAATTTATGGGCTGGAGCACTCAACAAAAAATTAATTGGACCATATGAATTGACCGCCAGGTTGAATGGTCAGTCATATCTTGCTTTTCTACATGAGCATGAGCTGCTAGAGGATGTAAATTTGGACGACTGAAGCCGCATGTATTTTCAATGAGATGATTCCCCATATTACTTTGCACGGAATGTACGGCATAACTTAGACAGTGCCTTTCCTGGGCGTTGGATAGGTAGAGGTGGACACATACTAATGGCCTCCAAGGTCACCCGATTTAAATCCTTTACATTTTTTTTTATATGGGGATAATCTATACATCTGAATATACAAATGTCAACCAACTGCGCCAGAAAATTGATGAAGCAAACATAAAAATGATGGAAAACTCAAATTTATTTCAAAGACTAAACGACAATTTCATTAGAAGGTGCCGCATGTTACAAAACCTTTCATTTTTTTCGATGGATTTGCTTGAAACTCTGTAAAACATTTTACAATACTCATAAACATATATCATTCAACATTTTTGGAAATTCATCCCGAAAGGGGTGAAATCTCTATGCATAAAAGAGGATGACTGCCTCACTCACTAACATATCAACGCAGAGCCAAAACCTATAAACGTAGAAATGGGAAAAAGGGGGTGAGGATTTGTATGAAGCTGTTTCCCCAAAGACGATAATGTTTTAATGCAAGCCTCTTCAGTTCTGGTGCTACCACTGCAGCGCCGAGCACCGCTCGCATCACAGTGCTGCGGGGTGACTCCGTGAAGGTGGGGGAGGGATTAGGCAGCGGCATACGCATCGCGAATAGAAATGACTCGGGAGCTGGTGGCATTAAGTATACCTTCATCGCGGATTCGACTAAATTTAGTAATAATATATGGTTTTGTAAATGAACAAGAAGACCTCAGATGTACCTGTCATACCGACTTGAAAATACAGCGTGACAAGAGAATTTCACCGTCCTCACCGAATCCAATGAAGCCTACAAGGTTTGATGGAAATTTTCGGCTCATTTGGAATAACATGGTATGACAAACTGATTTCCGCCAGAAGTTTATGTCGTACCGACTGAAAGCTATAGCAGGCAATGCAAATAGATAAAAATAATACATCCTGTTTGTATGCTTCATGCTTGCATTTAAAAGCTCATTTGAGTCTGTCAGTTTGACACCAGGCTTCTAGATGTTTGAAAGTATATGTAAAATGAATATGAAACGTCATGACCGTTGATATACGTATAGGTTATGGTAAAATCCTACCGTCACGTTGTATCTTCAAGTCGATATGACAGGTACTTTCATCGGCATACCAAGCCCTTTCTGTTCATTTACTTAAAAACTACATATTATTACTAAGTTTAGTCGAATCCGCGATAAGGTTTAATTTCGCCGGCTCCCAGCCCCAACGGAAAATGAGTGACATTCGTATTGACATTTGAATTGGTCTGATCGAGTCAACGCGCGGGTGATTAAATAATGTTCATAATTTCGACGTAAACACATTTATTCTTAAGATGATCTTTGACAGCGTTTCGATTCAACAAGTTTTCTAATATTTGTTACAGCGGGTTGAGCAGTGGAAATTCTGAGTATCTCCTCTAAGGACACATCAGACAAAGACCTTTTTTAGTTTTGTTCAAATTCATTAAAGAAAACATCTGCTCGCAGAAGTACGTTGTACCGAACATGGAGCAAGTTTCCAAGGCCAGTGCAAGAATTTTAGGAAAATCTTGCTGCTTAATACCTTGATAAAACGGAATTAAATCACTATTTGAAACTATTGAAACTTAATCAGCTCCATTTGGAACTGCGGCGGTTGTTTCGAAAAGCACTGAAGATGGCGTCGTAAAAATTTCATTTGCATAAACATCTCAACGTCGTCAATGATTTAAAAAAAAATCTTTAGCACTTTTGCGCAGCTTAACCAGCGCGTAACACAATGAAAGGGTATGTCACCGTAAGTTGCTTCCAGGTCTTTTAAAAATACTTCAAACTGCCGTGGTTGAGACCTTGCTTTCTGCAGAAATTGACACATGTTATTACTACATCCATAATAGATTTGAAATTACGGAAGGTTTTTGCACATAGTTGTTCCTGATGTAATATGCTGGCGCTCCATCAGTAACAACACTACGCAAACTTTTGAGTAGTATACCCATGTCATTCATTGTGTATTCTACAGCATCAAAAATATCTTCTCCGGCCATTGTATCATTGAGCGGTATAACGTCTAGTAGTTCGTCGGTGATAGTAAAAACTATTTCGATACCTCTAACGAAAACAGCTAATTATACTGTGTCAGAAATGTCTTCACTTTCATCGAGAGCTATAGAATACTGCACAAAATGGGCACATTTTTCCGCAGTTGTTCTTTTAAATCTGCACCAAGTTCAAGTATCCGACGAGGAATTGTTTGCTCGGACATACTAATTGTCTCAAAGTTGCTTACACGAGATGGACACAATATTTCTGCACACTCCACTAACCATTCTTTGACAAGTGCACCGTCAATAAACGGTCTCCCACTTTTTGCGATTTTCAAAGCAACAATATAATTTGCATTACGACACCATTAATAATTTCCTCTTCAGAACTTAGAAGGGCTTGTCTCTCTGGTGACAAATTAAACATTTTGCTTTTCCATCAGTATTTACAAAAAATAGGCTTCTTCCATGCAGAATTGAATGACATTGTTTAAATAAAGATGCACGTTAAGACACTAAAAAACCTGTCCACTTTGTCTTGTCCTATTAAGAAATGGCCCGCGCCCGAGAGACAGTCGGGTCTCTGTCGCGACGGCTGTGCGGTCGAGGTGGAGGGGGAACGGCACCGGTGCCGCTGGGTTCAGCACCGGAGCGCACCAGCACTAAGTGCTCGAGTTGGAGAGGCCTGTTTAATGTATTTATGAAAAAAGATAATATATAGGTATAATAAGATTTATAAAAAATAACTAAAGCTCCACATAATTTCAACAATTATTTCAAATTACGCTCTTAAGAAATTATTTTTTAAAAAGCACACATTTCACCATTTGCACTGTACAGTATGTTGCGCATTTGTTTATTGGCTCTAAAGAATATTTGCACAAAGTATCAAGTAACGCCATTTGAAAAAACAAAAATTATCATACAAACTTATAACTCCCACAAGTTTCAAGTTCATTAAAAGAATTTAAAGCTTTAAACAATTTCCCACCTCCTATTTCACCCCATTAGGAGATGAATTTTGTACTCATAGGTACTTAAAAAAACTTTATTACACTTTCAGTTAATAAAAGCATACGTTTTAATCTCACTCTTCCA